GCCTTCGGATGTTGTAGAGGCAGTAAATTTAAGTGAGTTTAAGAAAAAGCTTGATAAGTATATTATTATTATTTTAATTTTGTTTAGAGGATGGAACAGCCAAGATGGATAAATAGGTCCCATGTTGTCCCAAAACGTCATGTTATGTTACTAACAAAATTTCCATTCCGCTAAATTTATGTTACTGTTTAAGATAAAAAAAACGAATAAATTTCCTTACATCAATATTTATTTTAAAAAATTTGTAAATTCTGCACTGAAATATAAATCTCTGTTTAACTTGAGACAAAATCTATTTTCTCAACAAAAATAAAAAAAAGGAGAGAGAAAGATAAATACAAACTTATTCAATAAAATCAATAGCACGCAGAGACGCATCCCATCCCACTAAGACAGGAAAAAATATTCATGTAAATAAAACTCACTTGGTTTTTAACATTTTCCGTCTTTATACCAACTGTGGGCATTTTTACGCTCTTAAACTGCGGTTTTTCATCTGGCCCCCCTCCAAACGGCTGCCACACGGGAGACGCATCCATAAGCTCAGACTTTTCATCTTGATGTCTCATCGCTTGACTTACTGTTTCCGTGGAAACACACGGCGTCGGTTGTCCAGGCGTCCATACTTTACATGGAAGTAGAAATAACAATGATTTTTTATCAACATGTGTCACGAGTTATTACACTATTTATAACAACATAATATGGTAGCTCTTATGATAGGTTTGATCCATTTTCCCCTATAAAATTATAATATTTACAAAAAAAATTATGACTGATATTTATTTTTCAATAAACATGTTATATAAACTACTTCCATAACCGTTAAACTCAACTCATCTGTATTATGAAATATTATTATTAGATGTGAAAACCATATATTCGTTGACAGATAAACAAAAAGTTTAACACGTGATTGAGCACTACGACAATGATGATAATGGCGCAATTAATTAATAGTATCGAGTTGTAGGTTAGTCAAACGAAAGATTAAAGTATATATAGATTTATTTAGAAATTTGCTTAGCAATATTATTGAATGTTAGCTTTTATATGGTTGTTTTGTATACGATCGTAATTAAATTTGACATGTTACAAATGCACAAAAGCCACTGGTTTTATGTAAACACAGAAAAGTTATTTATTTGTGAACTTTACTTTCAACATGAATAAGATAAACAAGTGAAAAATAAACATTTTTATGTAAATATATCTACATTTATGCTTAAAAACTTCTTATGGTTTGGACGACTTTTTCTACAAATTTGTTAGTTGACCTTAAAAGAAGGTTAAGAAACCCTTCGCTGAACCTATAATGTGTTTAGTGTGACATTACTACTATCTACGCACTACGTTGAAACTGTGAAAAGACCGTCTATGATTAAGATTTAAACATAGAAATGTTGTGCTTAATCATGCACAAGAATAACAGTCAGTTGTACCTATTGGGTGCTATTCTTAAACTCTGTACTTAGATGTCGCCTACGCTTGAAGTATTGTATACAATGATTACTATGAGGATAAAATTAGCTTCTGTCGTTTCCGTTAAGTGGCTGTAACTACCTGATATCCGCTCATCACTGTGAATGAAGAGCGCAGGCGCAACATTAGTATTTGTAACAAGATCTTTCCCCAAATAAATCTAGCATGTAGCAAGAAAAACCGTATACATGCTAGGTCTGTTAACATCTACTCTACACGAGGAAAGTCTCCTGACTCTCCTTTAGAGCTTATAATGTAAATACGTTAATACAGCTAAATAACCAGTTAAAACAGGATGTACATAAAAAACTAGTTTAAATTCTTCGAGTTCCGTTACGTGAAATCATAATTCATACTTTTTTATCTCATACTTAATTAACTGTAGCGGTTTCTTCTCTTATTTGTCACTTAAAGCTCCTGTGTAACAAATAATAAAAATAGAAAATATAGTTTTTCATTGCCTTTTAAATTGGCACTTTGCAATCGCCCATGAATTATAATTGTTCTGCTTTTTTTTCACATTGCACATTTTATAGAAGCTAAAGAATGACATTTGAATGTAGCCTATTATCATGGGTTATTATTTAGTTTCCTCTAAGGCCAAACTACGCCAAAAACTTCGTTGTTGATATATATACGTACGACAGATCCTAGTGGTTCTGACTTGCGGTGTCAAATTACTATTCACACGTCCGGAAGTCACAGTGCTTCCGAGAATATAGTTCAAACTGCTAGCTTCTAAGTTAGCAATAAAACTAGCAAAGAAAAAAATTCATAAAAATCGCACCTTAAAATGGAAAGTGCCTTTTATTAGTAATAACCTATTTTGAACTATTTTGTTGTGGAAGTTGCATTTATAATGATTTCCTTTTTAATTGTAAAACCAATTCAGAAAATGTATACACCCAAATACTCTACAGGGGGTTGAGTACATTATATTAAAATGATTTTGGAGCCTCACCACTTTGATACAGTTCATGTGGCCACGTCAGGTCATATTCTATATCTGATGGCCGTGCATCTTGACAATAGCATGTAGCGTAGTTTTCATTGTAAAAGGTTTCGTCATAAGGCTCGCATGTCAAAAGCACACGATTGCTCTCTGCATGCTTTCCACATTTAATCTTTCGTGTAAGATGACGACGATTTCCCAGCGCCCGTTTCAATATTCCGATCGCACAAAAATCTATAGGCACTGTGTCTGGTGATTTGACCAGTATATGCCTTCATGTGAAATAACGTTAATACCAGTTTCATTCTCCAGCTGCTTAAGATATGCAACGGTTGAACAGATATGTCATAGAAGCAATTTGTGACTTGTTGTTTTTCCAGATGGAAATCTTTTTTGATTATGTTGAGTGCAGTTGCCTGGGACGGCGTTTTGCTATTGAACTTTGTGTGAGTGGATTTTTATTTATTACAGCTCGTCAAACGTTACTCAGAACGGCTGTGGTACGACTTCTTGCAGGGCTTTTTTTTTGGGTGGTCCATGGATCCTAGTTGATCCATTGCTTTTGTTTTCCGATACCAGTAAGTACAAGAAGTTCTAAATCCCTCATCCGAACATATGATATGAGCGTATGAATATTTAGCATTGGAAAGGACTGTTACTTACGTTTCCCAAAAGCGAAATATTTTCGGTAGCGTCACACTACCTATGAAATCCCGAAGAATGTCAAAATGTAGTTCTCATGCATGCTGTTCCATCTTATAAGTTCAATAAGAATATGTTTTGCAGCCAGATCGATCTACGTCTCCAATAATATCACATCGATCATGCTGTAATTGCAACAGTCCTGTCTTAATTTATCGTTGCTAACACATCAAGTGCTAAAAACTGATTGCTTAGAATCCAACGAAATAATATTAACATTATAAATGTGAATAAGAAAATCTATATTTTCGATTAAGTCAAATGGGTTGACTTTAAAAACTTAAATCCTAGTATTCCTTTGTGTTTTCTAAATATCTTAATCCAGAGGTTCTCAAACTGTAGTACAAAGACAACTGGTTGTCTGAGGGCTGTCTTTAGGTGTTTCGCTGAAAGGTTTCATAATTATAGAAAAGAAGAGTTTGAAATCCCATAGCAAACTCAAAACTTCGGACCTTTAACATTCAGCTACATAAACAGAAAGAATGTATATAAATTATGTTAAAAAGTCTAAAACTATGTTATATGGCTTCTGAATTATAGTGGGAAAACATATTATTTACTGGAGTGTTCGCACATTGTAAAATATTGACCTGCCTGCAGGTTTCTGTAAGAAAAAAAAGAAGTGCGCTTCTTGGAGATTTCTTTCAACGGAACATTAAGGTTAGGATTTGAAAAAAAATCACCATTAGGGTGTTTAATTTGGAGAACTGGAGAGTACCCAGAACTTGTAGACAAAGCTGTTCGTTTTCTGATGCCAGTTGATACTAAGTACCTGTGCAAGATGGGATTTTCATCATTTGGACTCCAAATACAGAATCAGGATAAATGCTGAACCTGACCTGAGGATAGAGTTTGTTTGTTTCTAGAGAAGCATTAAGCTACACAATGGGCTATCTGTGCTCTGCCCACCACGGGTATCGGAACCCGCAGACTTACTGCCGTGCCACTGAAGGGCAACAAAGTAGGTGATTAAATCTGCATTGGTTACTGGAAGATATATTTGATTTTCTATAGAGGGTTGTGGTTACTGGAGAGGAGGTGTTATCTTTTCTCTCCCAGTTTCTAGAACTGTAAGTCCGCAGACATACTGCTGTGCTACTGGGGAGAGGGTGGGGGCGTGGATAGGCCTAACGAACATTACAAAACTTTTCTCACAAAAAACAGGCGTGCCCATCGCATTCAAACATAGAAAGGTAAGTCTTGGTTGACATTAATATTGTAGTTATTTTTATGCACTTATTCTGTTTTGTTAAATTATACTGTTATTATGTGGGAAGGCGAGTACCCCCCTCCAAAAAAAAAACTAATTCGAGAAGTCTGCAAACAAAAAAGTTTGAGAACTACTGTTAATCTATTGAAATTTTTTAATAACTAGTATTTGATACTTTTAATTAAATAATTCAGATTTGGTATTTGTAAACCAATAATCAATAAAAAAAATAAACTAAACCAGGAATTCCAACGTGATCGTTCTAAAATATGACAGGTTAACTTTATGCGTCCAAAACAAAATCCACTATTAAATAAATAAAAATTTGTTTCGTGAATTTGTTCTCATCAAACAATTATTTGAAACAGTAGTAAACTAGAACTCTATATGGTTTACCAATGATCAGGTTACTCTGCGTATCATAGTGTAATGACAGATAAAAGTAAGGTTACATTTAGTGTGTATCTTAATAGTTAATACAAGAGACACGGCCACATAATTTAAGGCTTAAAATATTAAACTTCTGTGTATCTCTTGTATTCCATTTGGCAAAAAAAAAAGAGAAGAGAAGAGAGGAAGAAGTGCACGTGATCTCATCCAGGCTTTTCATGAAACATTAATGAATGTAAATAAAGCTACAATTATCAATTATGTTTTCCAAGATATTTCAAAGTGCACTAATACATCTTTAACTAAACCGTTTAAACTTCCACATCTTCTTTACACTCATCGTTACAAAATAAAACATAAAATTCAAAAACAATTACTGTAATCATTGTGGTGCAAAGTACCATATGTGATTTATTACCAAACGTAATTTTGAGAAGAGACAATCTATTTACTACGCAGAAGTATGTATATATATTGTATGACTTACCAGCGTTGCTGCAAGGCTTTGCTTTGAAAGACGGGCCAGGAGGCATTGCAGACAGAACACAAGGGACGGGCATGCCTTTTAACAGTTAACAGTTTAATTAATTATCAAGCAACTCAATAAATGTCAGCGGGCACGATGTTGTTCAGAAGATAATTCATGAAAGAACCTGAAACCAAACTTCACTGTCGAGGACAAACGTCATTGATCGTTGGCATACGTCACTATAAAAACTTTTCTCAATCGTTTACAAATAACATATACTAGTGTTTTTTCACCTACTCTTCAAAAATCTTAGATAATTAAGATATATTTCTTCCTGCGAAATAACTTCCTTAGCTTAAACTTTCTTTTTCGTATTAAAAAAAACCTATGTTTTACTCACATTTTGACTAAACGCAAACT